TTTTCTAATTTAACAAATTAATGTTATATAATTATGCCACATATATATGCTTATGTAGTGCATGTTTGGCTTCAATTGACATCAGGATTGCGCCTATATTCAATTGTGTATATGCGTCTGTCTACATACAATATATGTATATGCAGTACAGAATTGAGCCAAAGCAGCAACTACAACAACTGCTGTGGGCAGAGCTTGGGCAGAGATTACATTTACGACGTGCTGGTTGCCAATAGCGATTCAAAAAAAGTATTACCAATGCCCTTTTGACCACACTTTTCGTCCACTTGCGAATCGGATTATCTAAAGCGGGTTTCTTTTTAGAAAGCTATGCAATTTAGTCTCCAATTTAAAAGTGCTGTTTTCAGTTGAACTTGCAAATTTGCCGACATAGTATCTAGAAGAGCATTACTAAATATTTGTATTGCTTACAAAAGGATCCAATAATTAATTAAAATTTAAAATTTACGTGTATATTGTGAAAAGAAAAAACAAAAAAAAATCATATGGCGATTCATCTTGATACACAATGTGCATGAGAAAAGCAGCATTTGTTCTATATGTGTACCACTTCTTACGAGTATTAATAAAACCTTTCGGCATATTTTTTATTTATTACTTAAGGAAAAGATTTAAAATTTAATGAACTTGTGTGTTTTTTCACGCACGCCTGGCTACACATAAAAAGAGGCTTGGTTCATTCGCTTGTCTTTATTTTTATGCGGGGTGCGGCGGCAGCAACCAAAAGGCGTGAAATGCACACCCACGCCTGTAAGGATACACATTCATACACGCACACAAGCAAATCAAGCACTTTGCATAAACGAAAAAGGGGCACTGCATGTGAAAAAGACTAAGACCCAAAAAGGTTTGATGTCGAATTGAATGACGCACACAAGGAGCACTTCAATTCAATGCTAAAGAGCAACTAAAACCTGCACATGTATTTGTATAAATTATGCGCCTCTGTGTTATCCGGGTGTGTGTCTGTGTGGATGTGAGGCAACTGAAAACGTACGATTCGTACTCGTCATGGCAACAGGAATCAAGCTCTAAATAATTTAAAAAGCAGGCAGACAATAAAATTCGAATTGAAATGTCATACGCATTGCATTTGCATATGATTTGAAAAGGCACCGCCTGGATTTTTGCTATCCTATTGTTGGGGCTGTTACATTGATACCAAAATCAAATGGCAAATCATTAGGGTGTGTATGTTCAAAAGTCGATGCATGCATGTGTGCGTAAAATTCACGCTGCGTGCACACTCCATTGTTGGAGCCTCTGCAGTTGCAGTTGTAGTAGTAGTTGTTGTTGTTGTTGCTGTTTCTGGGCTCCAATTTGCAGGCCGAGCACACTCGTGTATACATACACAGATTATTTATGCGCAAATGTACGTATTGCATTGCCTACTTTTAGGCCGTCGCACAAATTAGCAACATAATATGTTTATAAATTCACTTTTGTGATTTGAAAATTGCTTTCTCGCAATTTAATTCGCTATTATATTGCACAATCTGGCAAAAGCAACTATAAATTCAGTTGCTATGAGGCAATTAAGAAGCAGACAACAATTAATTGGCAAACATTCCTAACAACAATAGAACATTTTACAAACAAGAAAGGAATGCTAAAGTCGACCGAGCTCAACTCTTAAATACCCTGTACTCACTTCCATAAAAAAAGAATTTTAAAAAGTAATTTAAAAATTAAGTTCAATACATACGTACAGATGCTTATGTACAGTTTCAACACGATACATTTGCAACATACATACATTTGTATGCAATGCATAAATAAGTCAAAGCAGCAACAACAACGTCTGCGGCCAGAGCTCTGGCAGATATTATATTTATGGCTATAATTTCCTTCCAAATTGGCCTAGCATGATGAAACTTGGCATACGGACACATTATCACTCACAGGATATAATTTGAAATTCCAAGAACTACGGGAGTTCTTGAAAATCGCAAATAGCGGGGTAGTTGGGGGTGCATTAGAAAAAATTAACAAACTTGCCTAGGGTTTAGGGAAACCTGGATACCAAGTTTGGTAATTCTACCTCTTGTATCTTCTGAGATCCTTTCTTTCATACAGGCCGACAGACGGACATGGCTATATTGACTCATCTTGTCACACTGATCAATAATATATGTATATAGTTTTGGGGGTCTGTCACGCCTTCTGCTGTGTGTTACATACATTCGGACTAAGCTAGTATACCCTTTTACACTTTGGGTAAAGGGTATAAAAAGAGGGCTGGCAGATAGGTATTTCGAATAATCAATAAATTGGTTTATTGCCAGACCTTTATGAAGGATAAAACGATTAGGGTTTGCTCAGACTGTGAGATAACAATAAGCCCCCCCCTTGCTTGTAAATCCTCCAGCGGAAGTACTCACACATCCACATTTCACCTTCTTTTACGGGACTTCGAGTTGTTACTCTAACGACGAGGTGTTTGCGTTTTCGGACCCTGTGGCATACATATCACTTATTATACCCTGTACCCGTAGGGTAAAAAGGGTATATTATGTTTGTGCAAAGTATGTAACAGGCAGAAGGAGCTATCTCCGACGCCATAAAGTATATATATTCTTGATCAGCATGACGAGAGAAATCGATCTAGACATGTCCATCCATCTGGATTTCGGAAACGGTTGATCCCACATTAACCAATCTTGGTATATAGACGCTCATGGTCCCTAAGCTACACGAGTTTTTTTTATTTTATTTTTTGATATTCCCTCCCCTCCCCCCGCTTCAGTTTTTCGTTAATACTGTCCATCTTTCAAAAACAACATTTGTATAAATATAAATCATTTGCATATAAATATCTTTTTTTATTTCAACCAACCAAATCGGTTTATTCCAAGAAAAGTTATTAGCGAAACAACTTCACTCTAGTAAGTACTACGCCCACAAGCTGCAGCATCAAGTTCGCGCTTCTTCTTTTTATACTCTGTACATGAAATGTACAGAAGTATATTAGGTTTGCGGGAGCTGAAAAATGTAACAGGCAGACGAGTCGATCTAGCCCTGTCTGTCTGTCTGTCCGTCTGTCCCCCTATGGGGGTTTTCCCGATTTTCCATTCGTATAACCGCCTATATCTCGGAGACTATAAGACCTACGGACACCAAATTTTAGTCCCAGATGCCTTATGTGAATACGCAGAAAATGTATATTTTGGAATTCCCCTCCCTCCCCCCTCTACCCCGCAAATCGTAACTCCCGTAATTCCTGGCATTTCGAACTAAAATTTTGGAAATACCCCCAGTTGGTTATTATGTGTCCGTATGCCAAATTTCATTATGATAGACCGATTTAACAAGAAGTTATAGCCATAAATATATTTGCTGATGCAGCGCTGCTCAAGCGCTGCCCGCGGCTGTTGTTGATGTTGCTGTTTGGTTGACTGCGAAATGCTTACACAGACACGAATAGACGCGCATAAACATACATACACTCACATAGACGCAATTGCTTTGTATATGTGCAATTATACACCCTTTACGTGAGTTCGAATACCAAAAGAGGTAAAATCGATCAAATTTTTATACCCTGTACCCGTAGGGTAAAAAGGGTATATTAGGTTTGTGCAAAGTATGTAACATACAGAAGGAAGCATCTCCTACCCCACAAAGTATATATATTCTGAATCAGCATGACGAGAGAAATCGATCTAGACATGTCCGTCCGTCTGTCCGTCCATCTGGATGAACGCAAGGATCTCAGAAACTATAAAAGCTAGAATAACCAAAGTTGGCATCCAGATTCTCCTAGGTCCGAGTACGGACGAGTTTATTTTTTTTTTTTAATTTTCCCCCCTTCCCCCGCTGCAGAATTTCGTCAATAGCGTCCACATTTCAAATGCTACCTAAACCAAACTTTGCACACATAATTTATATATAATTGTCTACTGTTGTTTAAAATTTCATTCAATTCGGTCAATTCTAAGAAAAGTTATTAGCGAAACAAATTCTCGCCAGTACAACCCCCCTAAACTGCAGCAACAAGTTCGCTCTTCTTCTTCCTCTTTTTGCTGCTGCTATGGGCGCATATAACTCAGTGACGGAAGTTTACCTGGGTACAGGGTATTACACTGTCGGGCTTGCTCGACTGTAGCGTTCTCTCTTGTTGTTTGTTAATTCTCTTACTTTTTATAGCCTGTACCCAAAGGGTGAAAGGCTATACTAGTTTTGTGCTCATGTATGTAACACACAGAAGGAGGCGTGGCAGACCCCACAAAGTATATATATTCTTGATCAGGATGAGAAGACGAGTCGATATAGCCATGTCCATCTGTCCGTCCGTCCGTCCGTCTGTATGAACGCAAGGATCTCAGAAAGTATAAGAGCTAGAATAACCAAACTTGGTATCCAGGTTCTCCTAAGTCCGAGAAAGGACGAGTTTGTGTTTTTTTCTGATGCACCCCTCCACTCCCCCGTAATTCGTGTTTTTTCTTATAACTTCCGTAATTCTCGGAATTTTGAAATCAGTTAGTACTAATGTGTCCTTGTGCTAAATTTCATCATGATAGGTCAATTCTGAAGATCTGAAAATCGCTGCTCATGCGCTGCCTGCAGCTCTGTCGGCAGCGCTGCCCGCAGCTGTTGTTGTTGTTGCTGATTTGGTTCAACTTTGTGCTGCATACATACGCATATAAACACAAATAGGCACGTGATGTAAATGTATGCTGTTAAACATGTATTCTAATTTAATTTAATTAATTAATTAATTCATTCATTTTTTTTAATAATTTAATTTTAAGAAATTTTTATTTTTTTTATTTTTTCTGTTTTGTGGAGAGTACAGGCTATTTTATTGTCGGGCTTGCTCGACTATAGCGTTCTATCTTGTTTAATTTCTATAATTAATTAATTAATTAATTTTTTTTTTTTTTTGGCAATATATCGATATGCACTGTCTGTAAAATTGGGAAAAACTCATACGATTTATGCGTCAGGGCTTTTCAATTTCAATTCCAAAATTCATTTTCGTTCATCCACCCATTCAAAATTAAATAATCAATGCCATAGACATGAATGCCCTGAAGTTGATCCTGGCGGCAAATAAAGTACCATCACCCAGTACAGTAAATCAGTTGCCATACCAGATTCAACAGCAAAGCAAATATGTACACACCCAACAACGCAATAGTTCCGTATTCGCCAGCCCACGGCACAACTTTGATTTCACGGCCAAGATAGAAAACAAATCGAGATCCGATTATTCCGGTCGAAATCAGCACGAGCAGGAAGTTACGCCGATGACTCCCGAGTGTGGCCCACCATGCTTCGGTGAGCCACCGCGTCTTGATAACACCCGCTACCGACCAAGCAAGAGCTACGACCGCGAATATCAGCAGACATGGACGGAGTTTGCAGGCGATAGCGTGCGCTCACAGCGAGGAATTTGTTTATTTTTGCCCGTGGAGTACAATCGTCGTAAGCCGCCTGCACCACGCTGCAGCTCTGCAACCACAAGTAGATGTAAGTTGATCATGGAAATGGAGGGACCCAAGTTGAAGGAGGCATCCATGAAGATTGACCGCTCCCCGAAAACGCAACTGTGTGAGTGTCCACGCGCATCAAAAAACACTCGCTGCAGATACAAGCCCAAAAAAACCCCAAAGGAGCGACGTCAGACCCAGTATCCAAGCTTCTCGGAGTGCAAGCAAGAGCGATTGGTTAAGCCGCCTTACGTAGAGTGTAAATGCCTGAGCGGCTCAATGTGTGAAATGTGGCGTACCTACAGACGCCTCAATAAACGACGACTGCATCGTGATGGCTAACTTGTAGCTGGCTTTACATTTTTACTCTACTCAGTATTTTACTTTTATATTTTAGACAGTAGGAAATAACCTTAAAATTCCCTTATTGCAAATTAAGTTCATTTTTAAGAACAAGAAAGGAATGCTAAAGTCGAGCAGGCTCAACTATTAAATACCCTATACCACAAAAAAATATATATATATTAAAAAAATTTAATTAAATAAATTAAATATAAAATATTCCATACATACATTTACATTTACATCAGAATCGTATATATGCGTGTTTGTGTACTTGTACATATGTATGTGTGTGTGAATTACATAATTATGTCAAAGCTGCGGACAGTGCTTGGGCCTGGTTATATGGCTATAACTTTCTTCCTAATCAACATATATATAATCACTAACTGGATGTGACTACCAAATTATAGTTCAAAATTCCAAGAATTACGGGAGTTATAGGCTGGGAGCCGGTGCATCAGAAAAAATGAACAAACTCGTCCATTCTCGGGCTTAGAAGAATCTGGATACCGAGTTTGGTTATTTTAGCTCATATACTTTCTGATATCCTTGCGTTCATACAGACAGACGGACATGGCTATATCGACTCGGCTTGTCATCCTGCTCAAGAATATATATACTTTGTGGGGTCTGCCACGCCTCCTTCTGTGTGTACACTCGCACAAAACTAATATACCCTTTTGGGTACAGGGTATAAAAAACGAACACCAAAAGAGAAACCAGTAACAACAAGAACAGCTGCGGGCACTGCTTGGTCATACATACATATATGGCTATAACTTACTGTTAAATCGGCCTATCATGATGAAACTTGGCATACAGACTCATAATCACTAACTGAGGGTATTTTCCGTTTTTCAATGAAAAATCCCAAGAAACACAAGAATTATGGAAAATCACTAATTGCGTGAGAGAAGGGGGAGGGAGGGAAATTCCCAAAATACACATTTTCTGCGTATTCACATAAGGCATCAAATTTGGTGTCTTTTGCTCTTATAGTCTCTGAGATCCAGGTGTTCATACGAACAGACGGACGGACAGACAGACAGGGCTAGATCGACTCGTCTTGTCATGCTGATCAAGAATATATGTACTTTGTGGGGTCTGTCACGTCTCCTTCTCCCTGTTACATTTTTCAGCTCGCGCAAGCCTTTGATGCACAGAGTTTAATTAATTGTAGTAAATATTGTGTACACTTTAAGTATGTTAAAAAAATTAAATTAAATTAATTAAAATTAAATATGTTTGCAAATGAATTTTGGAGGTTTATAGGCATCATTTCAACTGCGAAGCTTCCTGGTTTTATCTATCTTGCTTTCCTTCTTTCTCGGACTAAATACAAATAAATATAACATACACTCATACATATTTGGTTCATACTAATGTAGAAGCGTTGTTAGTTTCTAGTGCATTCGAGGCGCTAACATGTGTAACTGTTAACTGTCCTTCAACACGTGCTTAAACTTAAATTTTTCAGGAACCTTGCTCTAGACCACCTCCTAGCCACCACTTAGCTATTTGCTTTTATTCGTCCTATTACTATTAACTCCAATTCCCGCCCCACTTGCAGGCGCAAAGTGCGCTCGTCCTTAAAAGGGATTTGCATGCCGCTGAGATGTTTATCGTAAATTGTTGCCGTTGCTTTTGTCGCTTTAGTTGCTGCTGCTGTTGTGGCTGTCGCGCACAAATGTCAACAATTCTTCATTGAAGTTTACATTGAAAGACACTTTGTGCGGCCAGACGACGGAGTGAAAGGAGGCGGGGGCACGTTAATGAATAGCACCAACGGAGCGCAATGCACTTTTATGTAAATGCAAATGTTTAGTCTAGCGTTGTGGGCTCTCCATGCAACTGCATGATTTAATTGTTGCATTGGCATTGACACAAGAGCCTGCAGCGGCTGTGAAAATTTGGCAAACATTGTCCTTGTTGTTGCTACTACTCGTATTGTTCCTATTTGTTGTTTGCTGAAAGTATGCCCCGGGGTCACATCTCGCGCAAATGAAATGTATGGCTGAAAAGTTGTGTATTTGTGTGTGGTGCCCAAAAAACAAATAATTTTATTATAAAAGTTTTTTACGAATGTTCGTTGGTTGGCTCGGGGCTTGGGGCTAGGGTCTTAGGGGTGAGGGCCTCGGGCTTGAGGTTGAGGTTGAGTCGTGTGTGTCCCGTTGAGTAATAGATACAGTAAGAGCTGTTGGATGTGTGTATGTAAGAGAGCATGTTAGAGGCTTACACAGAGTTGGAACCTACATAAAGCAAGAAATATGCCACATGGAGCTTCGGCTGTGGAAAAATGAGGCCTTACGACATTACAAACAGCACTCCAGGGCATTTCTCTGAATGTGTGGACTGGTGGGCGCACCTGGTTGGCACATTAAAAGCTTTTTGCGGTTTAGGGTGCTCAATTTTTGGCCGAGCCATGAAAAATTGGCACTGTGTTAGCACTCCAAAGGAAGAAACAAATGTATTTCATTCAGCACACAAATTTTGTTTCCTGCCCGCGGCAAACTACTTTTATAACTCCTTTCGTTTCTGCTGCTTTTCTAGGCCAATTAGAAGAGCTAGTCGTGTTGCTCGTAAGCACCCACAGCTAGACGTTAGACCTTAATTGCGTGTACACTTTTAATGTGCTGGAAAGAGGCTTAGTGCGCTTAGTGTTCGCTGTCCCTTTTCACGTCTCCTCCTGCCTCGGCCATTTGGCTTGTTTGCTTCTCCATTCTGGCAGTAAGCAGAGCGCTCCTACGGTGCACCCGATCTATAAATGGAAATAACTATTTTTGCTGCACTTTACACACATGTTTTATCCCCGCTTGCGCCTCCTCCGCACCCAGCTTGTGTGTTCATGGCTATAATTGTCTGGCACTACTTGACTGCCAGCTTGGGTGCTTAGGCATCCTTGTTGTTGCCAGATTGTTAATATTATTTTATAATTTCTTTTGATTGCCTTGATAGCTGCTGTACTTTTTGAAAACGACTAAAAAAAAGGGAAGTAAATGTGCAATGAAGTCATAAAAACATTACCTGAAACGCAGAACACTTTGATCTGTGGCTGCTGGGTCTTTGCAGACGTTTCGAAACAAGGAGTTGTTGGCAACCGACCGTATCAGATCATTTTATCATCAATATACATACCTGTCATTACAATGATGCGATTGGAAAAGAGATATTTCGGCGTCCCATTTTATCCCAACCGAATACAAGTAGTTAACGGGACTTCACAAAGGAAATATATACACGTATTTATATTCGTAGGATATACAGAAGGTGGGAGTTGTTGTTTACAGGGTAATAAGGGTAATTAGTCTGCTAACGACACAAGCGAACCCTGCACTTGCAGTATACAGAGTCTTTATACGTTCATCAAGGCGTCGAGTTGAGTTGTAAACTAAAGTAAACCGTTATGGACGCTTAAATACATCTTTACGTTAAATAATTCAAACACTTTAAGAGTTTATTCAATAAAATAGATATAGGCATGTCCGTCTGCCCTTGATATTCAGGTTCCACTACGCCCTAGGCAGGTCAAATTTGTGTTATTATTCTGCTATGATTTTCCATATTTTCTCTTATTCTTACAATTTTCAACTCAACAGCAATTTGGTAATTACGTCCCGTTAGTCATTATATGTCGGTATGTTAAGTTTCACCATGATAGGTCAATACAAAAGGAAGTTATAGCCATACATAGAATATCTGTTCAAGCTCTGCCCGTCGCTGTTGTTGTTGCTGCTTTGCTTTAATTCTGTACTGCACACTTTCACGAATATACATATAAATACTCATACACACGATTCTGTTATTTTTTGTGGGAGTGGGTACAGGATATTTAAGAGTGGAGCGCTCTCGACTCTAGCATTTCTTTAATGTTTATACTCATTTAACGAATGACAATTGTTAAAAAAAATCACCATTATAGTACACCGTTTGATTTCGATATGGCTATATGAGTTAATCGAAGCCAATGGTTTCATATGTGAGTGAATGAAAAAAGGGGAATGGAATGCGAAATACTCTGTGCCCACAAAACAAAAAAAAAGTATAAACAAGTATGTGGGATTGGGATATATTGGGATTGAATCTATGTGTGTCTATGTGTCTGTGTGTGTATGCACAACAAACTAGTATACCTTCTTCAGGGCATGCATAGGGCGCAGATTATAAAAAAAACCAAAAAGAAAAAACATTTAAAGCTACATAAAAATATGGTGCAAGTCGAAAATCCTGTGTTAGGCTAAGCTAAGTTTTAACATTCAGATGTACGTCGATATAAAAATAATAACACAATGTCCTTGCATTCTATTTATTGCAGTGTAACCCTAAGGACAGATGATGAGTGAAGAGGAGAGAGGCGGTATGTATGTACCATGCTTATTTGCATACATTAATAGATTTGCACACTTGTACTCAACGATGTTGATGCCTATTGACATTTAGGTACTTGAAATGCCACAAACGCTTATGTCTATTGACAAAATTCAAATAGACAACAACACGACAACGTGCCGTGCAAATCCAATGAAATAAACGCGCCAAAATGCAAATTAGAGACACTGAAAACCAAAATTGGGAACAGAGAGAGTGTTTGCAGGCAGGAGTATATGTTTTAATTTTGGAAAAAGAGAAAAATTTAAAGATGCTAACAAGAAAAAGCTAGTAGCCAACGGTTCTGACAATCGTGCTAGAGTAAAATTGGCCAACGAGCATCCATTGTTTCACTCGAAAAGTCAACAAGCCAACGGTCAGCCAGTAGTAAGACCACAATAGATGGTTGAATAATCGACAAATGAACATATTGTGCTAAAGAGTTGAAGCGGCTGCTGTGTCGCTATCGCATGCCAGATGTCTGCGATTCTGACTGCTCTACGTCTAACTGTCGTATTATTTGGGCCAGCAGACGTCAGCGAACAAACCGACGAGCGTCAACGGTTTTTGCATTTCTGCAGCACGTCTCAAAAAGCCTAACTCTGTCGCCGCTCTCTAATTATGACATTAAACTGTCAGTTCACAGTACGTGGCTTACGCCTCTTAATGCGCTCGAGAGTATGCAACAGTTTTTTGTGGCATCCCGTCTACCCTTCTCCTTAGCCAGGCGGATGTGCGATTTGAAACACAGGCATGCTTGTCTGTTGTCTAGTTGCTGCATACTGTGCATGTGAGGAAATAATTCCGTTGTTGCTTCTGTTTATACATTACACAGAGTCAACACATTCCCAGATATGAGAAGACGGAGACAGAAGAGATATACTTACAACTCTTATAGAAATTCATATTGCATGCCAAATGCGCACAAATTTCAGAGATGCGAAAGTGTTTGAAAAAACCTACATAATAAACACATTTGGGCAGCTTTAAAATGCCATTTATGAAACATGTGCTAGCATTTATGCATATTAAATTAGTAAGCTTAGGCAAATAAACAGCAACAAGCAGCAAAGCGTTGAAAATGTAACAATAAACTGACACTAGTGAACCCTTTTTTATGGGCCCAGGAGCGGGTCTTATATAATGCAGAGCACACGTGCACACACACCCACACGCAAGTGCCTGGACTCTACAGCTGTATTTGGACTGCCATTATGGCAGACTAGGGCTGCCGGGCATCATCATCATCATCAGCCACACACACGAAGCTGAAGCAGACGCTTTGTTGTGCGTAGACATGCCGCTTAGCACACATTCGTTCACGGTACAGACACTTATATGCATCCCATCCCACTGTATTTCAGCATAACTGTTCTGTCAGCTTGAAGAGCGTAAAGAAATAGTTGGGACGCCTTTGTGTGCGACTTAAAAACGCATATGAAAACTTTTCAAGTGTGAATTGCTCTTCATTTTTCCTCTACACACGCCTCCCCACACACATACACTGATAAAATGGCCGTTGCCTATTTTTGTGCGCCCCAAATGTAAGGCACTCGACAATCTGCAAATGTTCATGTTTATGTGTGAGTGTGAATGTTATATACGACACAGTTGAAACAACAAATGGCATAACATAAAATGCCATGAAGAAAGATGTTTTATACAATTTTAATACGACCATAATTTGTAAAAAAAAAACCCGAGCTAAAAAATGAAATAAAATATATGTAGATATGTTAAAGATAAGCAACAAGGAAAAAACTCTCATATGGGAAAGCTTTAAATGAAAGAAACACGTCTGCCGGCAGAAGGAAACTGCCTAGTACGCCGGCTAAGCTTCATAAGCTTAAAAAACTTTTGCTTGCCACACAATTAAGACCCAAATTGTTGTACACATTAAGTATAACATTATGCTGTTACCGTTTTTGAATTCAAGCAAAGGTCTTAGCCTGTTAAGCTGTAAAAGTTGATATTGGATGCTCATTGCCAAGGTTGCTCTTGATCTGAGGCAATTTCAAAGTAGCACTTAATATTACGCCTTACCTATTTACACATTGTCTCTGCCAAAGAAAAGTAGTGTGTACATTATCATTAGATGCTCATAAACCCAGAAACACTTTTATGTCCATACTTTTGTTTCTACTGTACCTATACAACAAAGTTGCAAGACCTGATGCAAAATATGCATCTTTCTTGCATAAGACAATTAACTTTGTTAACACGCAGCTTCAATCCACTATATTACTTAATCTTACATTAATCCTTATTTATTTTGTCACCACCCGTGACCAAATATAAAACAAGAGAGAACATTGGCAGCCGAGAAAGCCCGACAGGGAAATACCCTGCACCCAAACAATCTTTGGGCGGTGAATTAAATGCTCCCATAGTAGAAGAAAAATAGAAGAGCGACCTTGTCATGAAATGTGGACGGTACTCAATTGTGTAGCGGGCTGTCTGGATATTCATTCACCCAGACAGACAGACGAATATATTTGCCTTGAGATGCCTCCTTCTGCCTGTTACATACTTTGTACAAACCTATTCCACTTTTGCACTACGCGTAAAGGGTGCGCCATCTTTTATGGCGGTATGTAAATATTGAGTAACTTTGTCATTAGTGAACCGATTGATTTGAGTAGACCAGTGTTGAAAACCTCAGTTCAAGAAATTGTACAGAACCAAATTAAATAAAAATATCTCATACTTGAAAATCGGTTGTTTATTTTCAAGGATATTCAATGTTTGCATACCGACATAAAAGATGGCGCACCCTGTATATTATTATTCTACTAAGTCCCTTCGATACGAGTATAATAATTTCTTTAAGGATTCATCTTTCATCAGTCTTCGCCTACCTTTCAATTCTGGAGCACCATCTACAATTGACGAATTAAAAAAAAAAATTGCAAAGTTCCTTTATATATCAAACTAGATTTCGATTTCAGAATACATTGTCAAAATTTTACAAAATTCGATTTTAAAAAATATGCAGTGAGAAGACCAAAATATCGCACCAGGAGCCACAATGTGTCAGCTAATGCGGCGCCCCCTTTGCCGGAGTTTGCCGAAATGCATTTGCCAATTTTTTTGTAAATACTCTGAAACAAAATGCAGTGACCCAGGCCTGATCCAATCAGATATTACTTGGACGCCATCTATGGACTACCATTTGCGTAAGTCCTCTCCTGAGGCGTACAAGAAGTTGCGTAAGATCGCGAAAACTTTTTCACGATCGACAGCGGTTGGCAGCTTCATAGAACTCACTGCACAGGAGCACAAAGCCAATCAGATAATAATGAAGGCAAAGAAGGCCGAATACAGCACGGGCATACTAGATCCGGAAAAATTTGCGCCCGGCTATCACATCTTCCAGGCTTTACCGAAAATAAACGAGTCGGCCCTCTTCAAAATACTCGCCAAAATGCCAAAAGGCGGCGCCTTGACTACGCATGATACCTCGATGTGCAGCACGGAGTACCTCATTCAGCTGACATACCGGGAAAACTTGTGGGTTTGTACCAGAAAAGAGGGCTGTAAGGTCGTCGCCTTCCGTTTCTCCAAGGAGAAGCCCACCATTAAGGCATATAGGGAGTGTAACTGGGAGCCCATGGAAGCTCTGAGAGAGCGGCGCGGGGATGAGAATGTGCGTAAATACTTGAACCGCCGGTTCAGCATGTACCCCCTGGGAAGCTTTAGTTCCAATAATGAGGCCTGGCGGCATTTTATGCACATTTTTGACCTTGTCGATGGCCTGGTGCAGTATGCCCCTATATGGGGCGAATACTTCTATAATGCGATGAAGGAGTTTCTAGCCGATAATGTGCAGTACATGGAAGTGCGAACGCTATTGCCGCAACTTTACTGCCTAGACGGGACGCTGCTCCCCGTTAGTGAGACAGTGCAGATCTATAAAGACCAAATAAATAAGTTTGTGAAGGATCATCCGAATTTTATAGGAGCGAAACTCATTTACGCTCCCTTACGCAATGTCGATCGCGCCGGCGTTGCGAAGTATGTTAAGACCTGTTCTGAATTAAATGTAAGTTTTTATAGATTTACATGAAAGATCATTCTATCGCATAATTCATATAATTCTTTCCCGAAACTTTGCGAACCGAAACTTTGAAAACCTCATCTCATGTGTAGATATATGAGCAGCATAATGAGATAAATTCAAATCGCAAAGCCAGTCTTTCCGTCCGCCCGTCTGTCCATCTATATATTTGAATCACTACTCCACCCACAGTTGTCACATAGAGAAAATATGATTTACCCATACACCTAAAAATGCTTTCCCGTGTCAGATTATGTAATATTATAGGGCAGAGGCTCGCTGACAAGGACCAGGAGAGAATACAAATTTTGTTGTATGGCTCAAAGAAGGGTATAAAGCTTCGACGCATATGAAGACAACTTTTAAGCTTATCACGGTATCTCCGTCTGTTTTAGTTATATAAGCTCTGTTTCTAAAAGCATGGAAACCACACTAAAATGATCTTTTACCGCATTGGATTTTACAAATGTTTTAAGGGTTTATCAAGGTCGAATTATTGATATGATACTTGTAGATCATGTTTAAGGAGTTCATTTTTTCAATGTATAAAATACATATGTAGGCAATGATACACGAATCATTATCTTTTCCAGGAACAATTTCCCGATGTATTGGTTGGCTTTGATTTAGTTGGCCAAGAGGATGTGGGACTACCTTTGGTAGACTTTGTTGAGGAACTTGTAAAGATGCCCACTAGAGTAAAGTTCTATTTCCACGCCGGTCAAACCAATTGGTCTGGCTCTGAGGTGGACGCTAACCTCGTTGATGCGGTGCTGTTAGGAACAAAGCGCATTGGTCATGGATATGCAGTCACAAAGCATCCACTCATTATGGCACTGGCAAAATATCTGGATATTTGCATTGAGGTGTGTCCCATTTCGAATCAAGTCTTGCAGCTGGGCCAGGACATTCGGTCCCACCCAGCCTCTTTGCTGTATGCTCGCAACGTGCCCATTATCATATCTTCGGGCAGTCCGTCCTATTGGCATGCAGCACCGCTGTCGCATGACATGTATATGGCATTTCTAGGTATCGCCCCGATTAATGCAGACCTGAAGTTCTTAAAAAGAGTGGCGAAGAACTCGATTGCATATAGCACACTATCGGACGAGGAAAAGTCAATCGCTTTTCTTAAATGGAAGGAGATGTGGAACAAATGGATAGATGATATCGTGAAAAACGAGGGCTCAGAGCACAAGGAGAGTGTTAAATAGAGGTGGAAAATCGTGTTTGCTACCAATCTGTAGGCTGTATCTTAAACGGGACAATGGTCGAAAGTCTTCCGTAAATTCAACTAAGCCACATCAATTATTTTTTCTGCTAACAACTGTATTGAATAAAACAAGTCATGCAGCGATTTTCTTCGCTATTTTTTAAAGTATTGCCTTTCTTCCGATTTTTTGTTATTTTTTATATAAAATAATTTTTGTAAACTAACTTCCTCCTTACTTAGTAAATGATATTTCTGGCATGCCATTTGCAGTATTCAAATTTGCTCATTATGAAAAATGTATTTACTTATTATTTGAATTGATTTCAGTTTTCAGATTAATTTATTCATGATTTAAGATAACTTCACGTTAAAAAACAATTAGAACGCTTTGCGTTTTTGTCAAACACATCTGCTTATCAACACCAAACCGTTGTAACATGGGATCAGCTTAGAATCTCTAATTGATCCATCGAAGAGATGCTTCTCTCGAGTAGCTGTTGTTGAAATGAAGTTTTTTCAAATGCGTTGATCAGCAATTAGTCAGCTACTTAGTCAGGACAAACTACTTTATATAAATACACAGATTTTTAGTTTATGCAATTGAATCAATTGTATGTTCTAAACAAAATTCAAAAGCTAACGCTTCCTTAAAAATATGGAGAATAGTTAAGGCAACATGCGCATCTTTTCTTCCGGCACCACTAATTATTAAGTCCTTCGGTTTTACTTGTATTATCACCAGCAAACCAATAAGACTTGACGCCCAACTTTTCTATTGCACTCTACGTGATAGATGGATGCACAAGTACATGTATATGTGACAAACACACCCTCACGACACGAATGCCCACATCTCGCTGACTTTAATCCTTCCGTTTGAGGGAGTCCAACGCTGCCGGCAGTAATTTCATTGGCTTCCATGCACACGAGATAAGGTTCCACACATGGCCCCCCTCCCTGGCTGGGAGTCGTCGTCGTCTTTGTCGTATTCGCTGTCACTTACGAGTAAGTTGACCTCGTCCTAGTCCGCAACTTGATTGCGATCCAGCAACTTAATGTTTCACAAGAAAATAAACTTTTTCCGCAGCCTTTGCTTATAATTAAAAACTTTATTATATGTTTAACTTTGCCCGCAGAACACGCAGATCTCCGGCATTGACAGCCGCAAATTTGTGAGTAGTTCCAGTCTTTCCACCTCTACTTTTTTCACTTTCTGTACAACCAACAAAAACTTGGCTACAATTATCGAGAAAGTTTGTGCCTGCCATTTATCAAGTGACAGTTTGATAAGGCGGCTTCTATGTATGTGTATGTGCATGTGTAAGAGTATGTTTGTGTGTGTGTCTGTGTCTGCGAGATTCCCTTTAATTGTTGCGCTTAAGTAGAGCATGACATGGAAGTGGCAACTAAAAAATCTGCTATGCACTACAACCAATTCAAGCGTGGCAGAAACAACAACTACAACAACAATAACAACGACAATGCTTCAGTAATGTTTGATGGTTGGATTGCGAGCAAGTCATTTACAGTTTGACAGCCACTGCGTAATTGATGTTGTGCAAGCAAGCATCAAGCATGCGATTTTTTGGGACTGCCAACTTGCTTTGGGTTTTGCGAAATTTCCGACACATGCATTGCATTTTAATGGCCAAACTTTTAATGATGCCAAAACATTTATGAAGTCAGCACCGCCGCTACTGCCCCGTCCGCGCTGATGCCGCCATCTCGTCTTTCACTCAGGGTAGGCACATTGGCTAATTTAGAAATTCATGAATATAAATTGGCTTTAAAATGTGAAATAAAATAATCAAATATGCAAATTTGCAAACGACGAGAATGCGTGCTCGGCAGTGTGCGTGTGTGTGTGTGTATTGGCGTGTGCAGAATATGGACACCCATACACCATGTTGCCCCGGAGCTCTAAGTCTCTGATAAGCACAAAATTATTTTCACACCCATACTGTTATTAAAATTGTTTGCCATTGGAAGCTGTGTAGGATCGAGTTCAGCGGACAGACAAACTCGAGCTTCTGTGCCTGCGTTCGGCAAAACTTGCACTTGGCGTGCGCCATGTGCGACCAAGAGCGGGAGACCGAAACTATCCCAAGGCACTAGAGACTGACCGAAACCAAGCAACTGCTGCAGTAAACAATGGCTTAAAGTCAAATGCACCTAACCACAGCAGAATGAAGCACACAGGGGATGGGATAAGGGGAATGGGGCAAGTAAACAACAAAACCGAGTGACCAGGAACTGCAACATGGATGTTTGGTTGTGGTGGGATGTGCGCAGAAACTTTAAAGTGCCGCAGTATCGTTCATATTTTTCGCAGCGGCAAAATTTATGCAATAAATCTCAAATACATTTGATGTCTTTGCTTTGGCAGTAAAAATCATTGCCATGGCATAGACGAGTTCGTTTGCATACAAATGACATTTCAGGATGCGCAGGAGGAGTTTGCAAACACGACTGCTGCAGAAGCGAGAAGCCCAACATGCAGCCTGGACATGTGCGACAAATAATGTACATAAATTGATCACGACGCGCATGGAGTGGGTAAAAAACAACGCTGGTCAATATGTTCCACTGGACTGTGCACTGATGATGATTAGATTTCTGCACACTAAGTTGAGACCGGGTGCGAACAGGTGGTGGGGGAGGGGGGAATCATCCTGCTTGTTCCGGATGCTCATCCGCTTTTTTCGTTTTTGTTGTGTGTATGTGTTTGTGTGCACATGCCTTTCCCTGCGGCTTAAGTTTAGAACTAGTTTGGAACGAACTTTTTCGCTATTCGTATGAGGATCTCCAGAAAAAAGCACCGCATACAATTAAGTTCGAATTGGATTGTGGACCATATGCTCGAACCCACATGTCGTGTGTGTATATTGACTGAGGAGGACAGTTAAATCCACAAACTCCTTTGATTATTCTGTGATCTCAATACCAGAGATGGATTTCGTTATGCTTCCGGAAATATACTTTTGCAACATGATCCTTACAGGTAATGGGGTGTTTAAAAATTGATTTTATATTTGGAACCACTAATTAATGATCTATTCTCCTTGTAATTGAAGTTGTTTTAAGGACTTCTCATTTATTATTAACACTCTTCTAATGCAAAAAAAAAATTATTATTTGGCTGCTTACCCAGGCAGTAGTTCCGTTCCAGTTCCCGGAACGCCGCTGGGACCTTTGGCTTGTCTGCCAGGCGACGCAGACAGCAACGTGATGATGATATGGCAAAGTTTCAAATGATCAAAGTCGCAAATATGTAGACAGACTGGAATTTTGTTGCTGCCATTGTTGCAGTGCCGGCAATCACGGACCTTTAGACGAAGTAGGAATATTGGGACGCACGGGCGCCAGCAGCCAATGGGGAATGTCTAACGTTTCCCCAGTTGAGCTTGCGTGTTATGTTAATATGATGGTCCATGTATGTATGGATGCATGTGTGTCTGTCTGTGCGTGGGTGTCAATTACACAAAGGATGCATGGATTTGGGGCTACACAAACAAACACACACACACATACACATACTCAATTTGGTCATAAACGGAGCTTAAAATGAACTTATTTGCATGCGAGAAATGCTTTGATATCTAATTCTTAGCTTTATAAATGCACATATTAATGCAGTGAAAATATTGGAATGCCGGAATATTAATTGATCCAGTATTGAGTTTCGGATTTTAATCGGAAAAAGGTAATTTTTTTCGGATCACAATTACTTAAGTAGCTTTCTTTACAAATAATCTATCATGAAAATTCCAAAATTGCGTGACCTATGGAGAATAATTAATAGTTAGTGTAAGTATAAATAAATAAATAAAAATAAAAAATAAGTAAATTGCGTTCACTTTCAACTGGATATGCTTTTTGATAGGAGCTATTTCGATTGTCTTACTTAAGTTGCACATAAACTTAAAAAAATAATTTACCATATTATGGCTATAAAATTAAGGCTCTATTTAGACATACGAGTAAATGGTATATACTATATACATATGCAAGCATGTTAGGAGCACACTACGTTTCTAATGGTTATAGAGCGATTTCTTCTCATTTTGCTTATAACATTAATTTCATTGCAGAATTTGTATTTGTCATTTTCTTTATACTATAATTACTTTAAATTATTTCAGTTACGCAATATGTTATTATTATATTTTTCAGATGTTTTTAACTTTTGTATGTATACAATTTTATTTCAATTTATTGCAATTATTGCTTAGTTTAATATATGTAGTCCCTGCCTACTTTGTGCTGTTATTTGGGCATACCTGTCGAAGAGCATCAAGACGGATTCCTTATTATTATTATAATTTAAATTTATGACTAAATTTATTAATTTAATTTAATTTATTTATTAATTTTATTTGATGACTAAAATAAAATAGTACATATAAATAAAACCTTATACAAGTATACTCGTATGTAAACTTAAACTCAAAAGCTTAAATATTAAAATGCATTGTTAATAAGCAAAACCAAGTGCAGTAATTAATTAGCGAGCGCGGCATTGCAGTCTCTGAGCTTCTGGGGCCACTTCAGCTTACCAGCTGCCCAATTGCTTGGCCGGTGCCCAGGCGAATCAGCCACAGGCTAGCCAGGCACTGAGTGCCATCGCGATTTTGTACGTTTTTCATGCCGTTTTTTGTTCAGCACAACAACTCTATGCGAAATAGTTTTTTCAAAAGGCTTTGTGCCGTACGTACCGTATTTATTCACCTTTTTTTCACCACTCGGTGCCTTGAAATCGAAACGGCCCAAAAATTGCGCCGTTAAATTGTTAACAGCAATTGACCCAATTTTATGGGAGCACCACCATCAGCACCCGAACACTCATGCATGCACTGCTGAAGTGGAGAGGGGGAGGGCGCGTTAAAAAATCGGCGTAAAAGCGAAAACTGGCCGCCGTAGTCCGTAGCTGCAAGGTACAATGGCGCGTATACTTATTGGATTTTTTGCTCTTGTGCTCTATTTTGTTTGCATTTTACTTGTGCACAAAAAATACATGAGCTTGTTTTTCGGCCAGCAAGTAGAGGGATGGAGTGAGCAAAAAGTTGTTCTGCAAGGCTTTCATGTCGTTTTTATTGTTTTGGCGCACCAGTCACGGTGGCAGCAACAGTAGCAGCAGCTTCCGTTAAAGCCCGCCCAGCGTTGCAAGTTAACTGACGATTGTTGCACTACAAAACAAACAGCACAAAAGCCATTTAAATCTTTTCCGTTATGACAGACCCAAAAAGTGAGCACAGTGAGCAACAGGGCATATTTAGTTGGCTTTAAACCGGAAACTGAATAAAGCATCCGATGTCCTAAACATTTGAAAAGATAAGTTTTTTTGTTGACCGAATAAGCACTCACAGAGGTGCTTGGCTGCCTCTATTTCACATCAAAGATTATTATATATTACTTAGCCATTTAGGGTGTCACATAAATGATTCCCATCCATGTTGAGACTATCCTGTATTTAAGATGGGATCTTCTCATCAGCCACAGGCCGCACAAAACGGTCATATTTAATAGCATTTAATGTGTTCGATTAGTAAAAAACCATTGATAAAGCAATATAGACAATACCCATGCGTTTCAAACTGCATAATTTGTTCAAATTAACAATTATTCACAACTTTGTGCACGCTGTACCGAGACTTTGCTCACGATCGGTACATATAATCATATTGTATATAGAAATAAAGGGATTGATTGGATTGATGATTAATATATTACGTATCTATTTCTAGTAACGCTTGAAACCAAACCGGATACTCTAGTGATAACGCAATGAGTGAAGTTATATTTTTTATTTTGCTGCTGCAGAATAATAACAATTGTTTAGTTGTAATATAAACGCAGATCACAGATCTTAATTTGGTTTGACTTACGTACACTTAAGTAGATTTCTTTGCAATTTCTAGTTGAAAGTACAAGTATAGTAGAATAGATGTTGTAATAAAATAGAGCACTCGGCATGATTACGACCAATAAACTGATCCACACGTCCCTGTGTGACCCCTATAGATATATCGGTAAAGGAAACTGTTTCTTAAATCCATTAGTTAGAATCAGACTAGAACATGGTGAGTGTCTTTATTCTGCACAAGTCGGCCACAAATGTATTCAGATCATTGCCGTCCACTGCATAGACTTAAGCTTATTCGTTTCCTGTGCATATTTCGTTAGCTGCATCAACTTAAGTGCTTATCGTTCCTGCTGCTATTTGGCGTTCCCTTAAAGCAAAACTGCAGCCATAAAGCACAAACCCTTCTCCCGTCATCGCGAGGCAAGCAGCGACAGTGGCTGCAACTGCGACTGCGACTGCGAGTGAACCTGCAGGTCTCTGTGCCCCCGCAATGATTTCATTTACTTGCAATCAATGAAATTGCACAGATGCAATTTTGCTGCGCCAAAAAATAAACAGTGGGTATGGAATAGATGTGCTCGGATGTGGTTGGATGGACGAGCACGAGTACCTCGATGTTTCGATGTGGGTGAGTTTTACACGCACGTTGCGTTCGTCTGAGCTCGTAGGCGTCCCTCTCGGTCATGGCAGTCTGTACAGCAACCAACAAGATATCAACTAATGCCCAGCTACCGGCGTGGTTTGGAGCTATGGTAAGGTTGGAGACGGGAATTTCTCATATTGCCAGCGACATTTTTGGCTGACAGCACGTATACTGCTAAAGCGGTGCAGATGCAGCGCCCGTTGCCCGTTGCCCGTTGCGCGCTGCTCGGAAGCAGGTCTGATGTCTACCGGCAGTTGCTAGTTGATGTCAATGCAAGCCACGTACATAGTATGCGCCTGCATTGGTATTGGGGAAATGTCGTGGTACTACTGGGACTATCTCAAAGTTCATGCGTTGCCATTGACATTCAGACAGCGGCATCGGGAGATGTGGTGGCTGGAATCAGAGAGGCACTGGCCTCGTGCTGCTGTCCACATCGGATGCCGAAAACATCAGCTTTGACATTACAGACAATAGTATCCTGTTCCTCGTAAAGAATTTGAAAAAAATGTCAGAGAAACGGGTCGTAGCTTTAGTTGAAAAATGAGCAGAGAACATACTAAGGGTAGGTAAGTGTTTGTTGGAAGTACCAGGATGTGGTTGAACTCAACCACTATTCAAAACCTTGCAGCACAAAGTCGCAACTGGATGCTACAAATAATGCAGAACTCGATGGGACAAGCACTAGTGGCAATCGCACAACTGTTGGCCTTCAAACTCCCGGCACTGATGCTGAGTGGGCAGCAGCAACGCGTCCACAGACACAAGACTATGTGGGGCAAACACCAGAAACTGATGAGGATTGGGAGCGTGAAGTACGTGAAACAGAAATGGGCCTTCATCAGGCGTCAGAGGAACATGCTCCACTTGAACAAGTGGCAGAGCAAGAGACCCAAGAGGAGCGGGTATCAAAGGAACAGGATCCAGAGAATCAGGCGCCACACAAAGAATCGCCGGAGGAACAAGGAGACCGAGGGCAGACGGTTCAAGGACAGGCTGTGGCAGAAGAGGCGCCTGAAAAGGATGAGGCTAGAGAGCAGGTAGCAGAAGAGCAACTGCCGCAAGAGCAGGAAACGCCGGGGAATGAAATAGATGAGCAACAGACGAGCGTAAAAGCCACCAAACCACCTCGCACTAAGGCACCCCGAGTGGACGCACAGACGGAAACGGACCCGTGGCCTAAACGGAAAGACCCTCACGTAACTTTTACCGAAGCAAAACCCCTGTTGGCGCAAGCTGACAAAGATCCTGATAGTCCTATAGATCTTGCACCAGAATCACTATCTAGTACCACCGGAGAATATGATCGTGAACCACCTATCACAACCAAAACAGTAAAGGTGCTTAAGAAGAGTAAGTCTTGTATCATGATTTCAATTTTCTGTTACCAACTTGAAGTTACTACTCAGGACCGCCAAAGACACCACTTGTTGATGACTCCGATGAATCGGCCAACGAGCCTTACAGCGCCTTCACCCGCTCGCAAATGTCTCTTTTGACATTTAATGCCATGGAGACGGATATGGCGCCCTCCGATGTCACCGACATGATCAGGAACACGGATTCGAGCAGCATACTCTTCACAAGCAGTGAATCCTTGAGTCTTGACTCCAACGGCAATGGTTCAAATGAACATGCACATGTTGAGTTGGCGGGCCATAGTCTGGCCTCCGGCTTGGCCTTTGTAAGTGAGTGACATGAGTAACTGTAGCTAGCCATGGTTCCAATTAAACGTCCCCAGATCTACATGGTAATACCGCCGGATGGAGGTTACGGCTGGGTCATTTTAATACTCTCGTTTCTGGCCCAACTCATTGTTGATGGTATTATCTTCTCGATTGGTATTTTGTTGCCTTACATCAGGAAAGATTTCAACGCCAGCAACTCCTCAGTAGTGCTTGTGGGCTCCATTCAGATTGGATGCTACTTCACAGGCGGGGCTATATCGAGCGCCTTCATCAACAGCTATGGATTCCGGCCTGTATGTATATGTGGGGTAGTTATTTCTTCGGTTGCCATTTTAGCAGCTACCTTCAGCCCGAATCTGCCCCTTATGATTTTGTTCTATAGTGCCATTGGTAGGTATAGCAATCTTAGTAGTCCTGTATAGAAGCGCTACAAATTCTGCAGTTTTACAGCTGGTCCTGGACTGAGTATGATCTGGACAAGCTCGCAACTTATCATTGGCTTTTATTTCGAGCGCTATCGACCCATTGCCAGCGGTTTCTCATGCTCCGGTGCTGGCGCTGGCATGCTCATCATCTCCTTACTGAATACCGCACTTGTTCCGGTGATTGATTGGCGCAATACGATGCGTGTGCAAGTGGCGCTGCTTATATTTGTATTTTTTATTGGGATAGCTTATTTAGAGGTTTCACCCACACCTATCGGCGTTGTGGCAAAGACTGAGCCCTTACCGGGCAGCTCATCCGACGAATATTACGGCAATTTCTACGTCCATAACTTTCTACGTGACGACACATCCTCAAAAGCATCTCACATTCTTGGTAGGCTCACATATATTTTATACCAAGTATCATAAGACCTAAGCTGCAGGATAGAAGTCAGACCAGGGCTCTTCACAACATAATATAGCTACATATCTAATTTCACAACCAGAATAAACAATTCAGAAATAGCACTTTTATTGTTTTAACTATCTATAATATACAAGTATACGAGTCTTTGGTAGATAAATCATAGTGTTTAAAGGCATTCTATTTATAGGAGCCATTCCTTTTCTAAGATATCCACAAGCAGTTATATAGCCGGTCCTTTCGGGGAAGCTCTCCGAGGTAGTTCTCTTATTAAGTTCTCTGTCTCCCACACAGTGCACTATCATCCGGAAAAGAAGCCTAGTCGACTGCGCCGCATTGCCAAGTGTATTTCGCCGTGCTTTGCACGTGAAAAGCCTCAGAAAAAGGAAGAGATTGCCTTGCATCGAAGTGAAACTTCCCTTTCAGAGAGAAAGTATATAATACGTACCGATCCCATACAGCGCGAGGACCTATTTTATACCGGACCAGCGGACTATGAGGAAGCCCAGCAGAAACAGCAGCTCGAAGGAAAGCCTTTGGAGCTTGTGGGTTCCGAGAAGCAAGTGAGTAGAGTTTTTAACTTATAAAGCCACATACTTACCTATCTCTGAAAATGTATTTCTTGTAGATGCAAAGAGTTGCTTACGGGTTACATCACATACAAGATTATGACTCACCAACTACCAGTAAGACGCGCACACCTGGCCATCCTGCCGAAGGCCGTCGACATAAGAAGGAGGAGCTGCGTCAGCACTGGCTGAAAACAAAGATTGCGCGCGCATTTAATCGCCTTTTCGACTTTCATCTGTTGAAGCATTTTGAATTCAGGTTGCTACTTTTGTCCGCCTTCCTGTACCCTATGGGATTCAACATACCGTTTGTGTACTCTCGGGCACGTGCGACCATCCCGAGTAACCAAGCCTTTCTGATCGGACCAGCGATAGGGGTCACCAACTTCTTGGTCCGCATTGCATGCGGCTTTCTGGCCTACAAGCTGCGTACATGGACGACTTATGTGTGCGGCGGAGGTATGTTCTTTGGGGGCTTGATCGTTTTTTTCAGCGCCTTTTTCGGAAGAGATTTGTTTTGGTTTCAAATTCTATATGGCATATGCTATGGAGTTGCACCAGGTGAGGCCATTCACCAGATATCAGAACCTGATCTGTCTAAGCACTTCCCTCTTTACAGCCGTTTTTGCCACGCTGCGAGCACTCATATACGTCCGGTACCTGGGTCTGGCCAAGCTTACCAATGCCTTTGGAATTTCCGCGCTGGCCATGGGCCTTGGAGTGTTCATTGGCACGACGAGTGGTGGCGTGCTTATAGAGCAAACCGGTGGCTATACAATAGCGTTTGCTTTTTCCGGATCCTGCATAATGATAGCGGGCGGCCTGCTTTTAGCTTTGCCGACCATAGTGCGCAATCGTGATATTAGAAAGCAGAAGAAGGCTAGAGAATTAAATAACTGAGCAACTTGCTTAATACGGGGCTCTCATTTTCTACAGTTTTATGCGTAGTTTATTACTTGTTCGTTCATTTTACAAAAATTCTTATGCACGTGTTTGTCTGCATTGGTTGTTTTCTTTTTCTTATTTTTGGTTTTTGTGTTACATGATACATACATAAAGTATTATGTCTAATTTGTATTCAATGCTATGATTTGCAATAATCTGGTTCATGTGTTTATTGTTTTATGTTTTAAACGCTGGCATTTCATTATTTTACACCTTTTTTTTGTTGATCTCAAAGCCTTGCAGGGGCATCTTAAATTATTAAAAAATTAAAGAACCTACTTGCCAATATATTTTGATACGAGTACCTTCTCGAATGCATGAAAGTTAACCTTCTTTTTTTTTGTAGTCATATAGTAGATATAAACAAAAACTTCGGACACAAGAAGTCTATAAAATATAAGTAGTACATGTAATAAAATGTAATGAATCATTTAAACAAACAAATAATGTTTGGTATGGGTCCTAAGAAACTTATTGATACGTTCATTTTGGTATTTAAGTAGAAAATGAATTGTCTAAGCTAGGCCTTGGACTATTTTCGCAGTGCTGATCAAGCTGCCGCCTCCATACCCTCATCAATTATTGGCTATCAAAGTGTCGTTGACTGGCTGGGTTTCCCTCAAACTGTGTAGCTGTCTGGTTTGATTTTCTTTATCAATATATATTAGATTCTTAGGTACCTTTAAACTACATGCATTTAATTCGACTTGACCGGGACTGTACCCAATTGTTCTCTGCCCCATTATAGTTTTGTAACTTTAATAAACTTATTTTAATGTTATACATCTAATGTTAGCTTAACTGCTGCATTACACTTTTGTAGTTCAAGTATTTTCATAATTTGGTTTACATTTGGCTTACCTTGTTTGTGTTCGTGTATGTTACTTTATTGCTTCCCCTGGCATACATGAACATTACATACATACATACATACATATGTAAAGCAGATGCGACTTACTTTGTACGTCTATTGTTTTCTTTTGTGGTTTTTTGTTTTTGTTGTTGTTTTTGGTTACTATGTGCTATTCAGTGGCACATTCCTACTAATATCGTGCCTGCTTTTTACAGTAAATGAAACTTATGACTCCTTAGCTCTTTGATAAAATCGCTAAATACTTGCATACTTGTTGCTCAGACTATGAGTTTTCAATGATATTTGGAAATCGAAGGGAACTGTTCTACGCATCCCGAACACATTTCATAGTCCAAGCCAAGTGTGATGTGTAAGCAAATTATAATACGTGCATACATACACGTATTTAGATAAAATGCCGCTTCAAATTTGGTTTTAATTTTACGTGTATGTCAGCCAAATGTTTTGGTTTGGGTTTTAAATATTGTCTGTAGTCTTCTCTTTTACATGCATTGTAATTTTCTTGCTGATTTCTGTTGGCTTTATCTGCATGCGCATACGAGTATTTAAATCAATTTCGCATCGTAATCTAAATTTAAATTAAAATCTCATTCGGGTCTGCTCTCACGGATCTCCAAAAAGCAATTGTTACGCCTTAAATTAAAATTATACTTATATCATCCTCGTTCCTTCGCCCTCATCTCTTCGGCGTCCTCTCGACCTCCTGCACGCTGTGCGTTCATGTGTCGGACCTGGAAGCACAAATGCGTGGGGTTTGTCGGTATTTGGGTGTGTGGGTGAGGGACTTATGCATATTTTAAAATTGCTTCTCCTGGTTACTTACCAATTAAAATAGCTCTGCGACCCCTGACAGGCCCGCTCACTGCCGCACCACTTCGACTCCTGCAGCGCCGGGCAGGGTCGCCCGCCTCGTTTGCCATGCTTAATGACTTTCCGATATCGATACATCTCACCAATGCCGCAGCTTTTACTGCAGGCCGTCCACTCGGACCAGTGGCTGACGCGGCAATCGCGGCGTCTCTTCGTGCCCAGTGCAGTCCTTCTGCGCGCTGGATACGTGGCAGTAGCGTTGAAGCCGACCCCAGTCCCAACTCCAGATCCAGATACGCCACGGGCATCCGAGCGCCTATAGCTGTTGGCGATGCTCTGCATGAGCGCATGTTTGTCATTTTTGGGGACCACATTGCTAGCTTGTTGACTGTTGTTGTAGCTGCAACGACAATTATGGCAATATACGTACATATCTAAGCTGACTTGGAATTCAAGTTTTTAAAGGAACATAAACACTTTTTTCGATGATTCATGCATTATACAAGTATAAGTACGTGTATGTACATCTATTATACGAAAAGGTGTTTGTTATTCGGGCTCATTTCTTGTTGTCAGCAGTAGACGATTTCAATTTAAATTTGGGCCCACGCCCGCCCCTGGTTCTACACACATACCACAACATGTGTTGCGCCGACGTTTCCTTCCTGGCTTCCTTCCTCGACTGCCTTCCTGACTTTCGTGTTTTGTTTCCCGCAGTTTTCGTTTATTTGCATACACATGCCGCGTACGAGTATGTCGTGCAAAATCGCGCAAATATTAAGGCAGTGATAGAAGAAAATGGAGGAAAATACGACAACGTCCCTACAAAATGCCAAGTAAATTGGCAAAAATATTGAAAACGTGCATATCGTGGCGGACAATGGATCGCTCTCACAAAAGTGGTGCAAAAAATCCGAAGACGTTTTCATTTCAGTTCACAAAAAACAAGTATATCATAACCGACTTCTTCTAAGATATATGTATATATTTACATGTACACGAATATATATGTACTTTTGAAATACAAGTATTCATGATGGCTCCGAGTCCAGTAATAGTCTTAAGTGCGTTTCTTTCAAGATATTTGCAATACGTTGATTTTAGACTAAGCCTACAATTAGAAAACATTTTGTCAATATCAATAATTTCTCTTTTTAACCTGTGTATATTAATAGATTGGTTCATTACTGTGTATGAGCTTGTGGAGTTCGGCCCACTGTCCGTGTTGTGTATATGAATGTATGTGTGTGTGCAGGATTGTGTGGGAGCGGGACGGAAGAAGGAATACCAACAAGGACTGACTGCTTTTGAAGTCGCAGCAAGAGCAGTAACTGCCAGTAAATATAATCAATATAAAAAACATCTTGACGAGTGGCGAAATGTAGTGGCGAAAGTAAGACTTCAACTCACAACATTTCTGATATAAACCTGTGCCGAAAGATAATCAACATAGAAATGTTATGTCTGAATGAATGTTACGTCTGCTCAATTCCAATAGTAAGAATCTACTAGTCAGACGGGAAAATATATAAGTATGTATCTAATTATTTCAATATTCAATATTCACAATGTGCAGAATGTTTTAAACATTCCTACGCCACGTAAAGATATTCCATTTCAATAATGCTCTCATAAAAGAAACGAAGATATTTCCTATCGTGCGTTTTAGTGTTCGGGGGTTCCCTTGGCCATAATAAACATTTCATATGTCTACTTTTGATGAAGATTAGTTTTTAAAACGAACACTCAAAAATTAATTCAATAATGTCACTAATCATTCTGAAAGCGTTTTTCAATTCCTTTCGATTGGCATATCGACCACATCGGTCTGGGCAGCCAACGAAAAGCAAAAAATTAGCTGCGATATTAGCGTAGTGTGTGGACACTACGTTCTAGTGCTTCGCCACTACATGGACAGCCGTCCAGGGTGATGAACAAAATGTAGAAATTGAAATTATAACATTTTTCTTCACAAAGTAGGAAATTTACCATCGCAAAGATACACACAGACACACACAGATACACCCGAACAGTTTACTTGTGCATCTGTGCGAGTGGAAGTTATTAGCGATAATTTGGTTCGATCATGTTTGCAGCAATTACCGTTACATGCAAATGTAGTAGAATATGATTTTATGCGCAATTTGCATTTAGAAGTAAAGCGCTCGCCTCGTGAAGATGGGTAAGGCCCCAGTCATGTGATTGGCAAAATACAAGATACAAGACACAAGAGACAAGGGACAGTTGTCGGTTCTGGAAAGCACTTAACGATTTATATTTATTCACAGTCAACAACTACACTCGATTAATACAAAATAAGGGGCACGGAGCCCTATTTTCCTCAAAGTATCACACAGCAGAAAATTTCATCGCGCGGAGTCGCATATACGGTGGCTGTGGGCTGGGCGCCCACTACGACGGCGGGCCGTGGAGGTGGTGCATTGATGACCATAGCTGGCGGTGGCGGAGCGCCAATTACTACAGTAGGTGGGGGTGGTCCACCTATAACAAGTGCTGGCGGCGGTGGCGGAGCAAAGCCAATCACTGGCCGCGGCGGGCCTCCAATATTGATGCCCACATTGACGTTGGCACGTGGTGGCGGAGGGCGAGCTGGACCAGGACCGTATCCACCGTGTCGTCCACCGGGCGGCGGCATCTTTATTTTATTATATTATTATTTACGTGTAGGTTCCCGTATTGCCGATCTGAACTATACACTGTCAAGTGGCTCGAACTCGTTTTGGTCATTGAGTTGTGATTTTTGATTTTATTGCAAGCCACTTATCAGTACTTCAGCGAGCCCGTGGTAATTAGTAATCGATTAGGTTCGGGGAAGGTTCGGTGATGGTGATTTTTCTTTACTGATTTGTGTGATAAGATAGAAAAGCACTCGTACCTAAGCACTCGTTTCCAACGATAAGAGGGCTTAGCGCCCACTGACTCACAAGTGATTGCGAAAGGGGTGCTTAAGTGTGTGTGTGTTGGCTTTTGTTTCCATGTTCCATGTGTTTTCATAGACGTCCGATTCATGTTCCAGCAGAGGAAATCCCAGGCGTGTCATGCTATGATGCAGCTGCTCTTGCGTTGCTCCTCCTCCTTGGCATTCACTTGGTAGCTCCGCCGGCGCCTCTTACGCTTGCCACCGTCTTCTTCATAGGCCAGCATGCCTGTCAATAGTACGACATTTAAAGCCGTTTGCATCTGGACGTCGGAGTTGTCTGTTTTTGTTACTGGAACTCCAGGTGTGGGTGTAATTGGCCCTTTTGGTGGCACAGGCGGCTGTGGTGCGACAGGCTTCTGAGGTTGTGGTCTATTTGGCTGGGTCTGATTGGCACCTCCTTGTTGGTGATGATGGTGGCTTTGGTGATGGTGATGATGGTGGCTTTGGAGATGGTGATGGTGCTGGTGTGTCGGGGTAGACACCATCATCGTTGTAGTCGAACTATGATGATGCGTCATAACCTTTACTTTTATTACACACTCTGATCTGTTCCGCACGGCGTTTAATTACTTACTAGCACAGAGCACAGTAGCCCGCATCGATTTATAGGCAGTGTTAAGCATTGCGTCACCATCAGTGTAAAATATTTCTTAAAATTAAATTTGTTCAAATTAACGATAAGATAGCTAGTGGACGAGAATAGGCTATGAGGCAACTTCATAGATTGTGCACTACGCAGGCAGCTATGCTGCTTTGACTTACTGAATTAAGAGCTCCAAAGTTAAAACATATTGTAATGATAGTGCCGGATATACGGATATATGTATAGTATACAAAACAGTTCCGGATATACGAGGGCAATCTGAAATGTTGCTGGTCAGGCCATCCACACGTGCAGTTGCTCGTCGAATTTGTTCGGTCCGACGAAATGTTCGTCATTAGTGAAAATATTGGCGATCAATTTTATGTTCGACATTTTGTGCGTCTATTCGACAACTAATGGTATTGTTTGCACGAACATCATTTTTGAAAAATATGTGTGGGTAGATCACAAACATTTTTGCAATAAAAGATTGAAAATTTACTAATTTTGTTTCCATACGCATTTTTGGTTTCTATCAAGACTACTACTATATTTTTTTCCGCATTCACCAACTCGTGCGCTGAATGTTTTTATTAAATAATGTTCGCGAACAATAGATTGTGCATGCTTTAGGCATCCGTGAATTGGGGATGTAAAACGAAGAGAAAACATCGATGTTGATGTACATCGATGTCTCTTTATTAAAAATCGATGCATGGTCGATGCATCGCAAAAAAACATCGATGCATCGATGTTTTAAAAAATAACTTTTCATAGAAAAACAAGAGAGAACGCTACAGTCGAGCAAGCCCGACAGTGTAATACCCTGTACCCAGGTAAACTTCCGTCACTGAGTTATATGCGCCCATAGCAGCAGCAAAAAGAGGAAGAAGAAGAGCGAACTTGTTGCTGCAGTTTGGGGGGGTTGTACTGGCCAGAATTTGTTTCGCTAATAACTTTTCTTAGAATTGACCGAATTGAATAAAATGTTATACAACAGTAGACAATTATATATATTATTATGTGTGCAAAGTTTGGTTTAGGTAGCATTTGAAATGTGGACGCTATTGCCGAAATTCTGTAGCGGGGGAAGGGGGGGGGGGGGGGAATTAAAAAAAATAAAATAAACTCGTCTTTATTCGGACCTAGGAGAATCTGGATGCCAACTTTGGTTATTCTAGCTTTTATAGTTTCTGAGATCCTTGCGTTCATCCAGACGGACGGACAGACAGACGGACGGACATGTCTAGATCGATTTCTCTCGTCATGCTGATCAAGAATATATATACTTTATGGGGTCGGAGATGCTTCCTTCTGTATGTTACATACTTTGCACAAACCTAATATACCCTTTTTATACTCTGTACATGAAATGTACAAGAGTATATTAGGTTTGCGGGAGCTGAAAAATGTAACAGGCAGAAGGAGGCGTGGCAGACCCCACAAAGTATATATATTATTGATCAGCGTGACAAGACGAGTCGATCTAGCCCTGTCTGTCTGTCTGTCCGTCTGTCCGTCTGTCCGTCTGTCCGTCCGTATGAACACCTGGATCTCAGAGACTATAAGAGATAGAGACACCAAATTTTGCACGAAGATGCGTTATGTGTATATTCTATACGAGTTTGTTTTATTTTTTTGATTTTCCCCCCCACTTCCCCCCTATGGGGGTTTTCCCGATTTTCCATTCGTATAATCGCCTATATCTCGGAGACTATAAGACCTAGGCACACCAAATTTTAGTCCAAGATGCCTTGTGTGAATACGCAGAAAATGTATATTTTGGAATTTCCCTCCCTCCCCCCTCTCCCCCGCAAATGCGATTTTCTCTAACTCCCGTAATTCTTGGAATTTCGAACTAAAATTTTGCAAATACCCCCAGTTAGTAATTATGTGTCCGTATGCCAAGTTTCACTATGATAGACCGATTTACCAAGAAGTTATAGCCATAAATATATTTGCTGCTGCAGCGCTGCTGCAGCGCTGCCCGCGGCTGTTGTTGATGTTGCTGTTTGGTTGACTGCGAAAATGCTTACACAGACACGAATTGATGCGCATAGGCATACGTACACTCACACAGACGCAATTGCTATGTAAATGTGCAATTATACACCCTTTACGTGAGTTCGAATACCGAGAGAGGTAAAATCGATCCAATTTTTTTTTTATTTATTTTTTTTTTTATTTTTTATAATTATTGTAAACATATGTACAGAGTATTTCAAAGTCGGGACACCCGACTTTAGCTTTTTTACTTGTTTTTTTATTTATTTTTTTTTTTTATTTTTTATAATTATTGTAAACATATGTACAGAGTATTTCAAAGTCGGGACACCCGACTTTAGCTTTTTTACTTGTTATCCTACGGGTACAGGGTATAAAAAGCTATTATTAGGGAGCAAATCAACATAGATGCCTGAAATAAAAATGTACAGGGTGCGCCATCTTTTATGTCGGTATGTAAACATTGAATATCTTTGAAAATAAGCTTCCGATTTTCAAGTATGAGATATTATTATTTAATTTGGTTCTGTACAATTTCTTCAGACTAATTTTTGAAAACAACATCAACAAGTGGCCGCCTTTATTGGACACAGCAAAATGTGCCCTTTTTGCAGCGTTTCCCATCACTTTTTCTAGCATCTCAGGTGGTATAGCGATGATTTCTGCACGAATATTTGCCTTGAGCTCGTCAATGGTTTGAGGCTTGCTGGCGTAAAGAAGGAATTGCTTCTGAACAGACTCAATACTTTCCTGATGCTTTCTATACTGCGGAGACCAAACGCAAGAAAGAAGCTTAGTGGTATAAGGGTCATTAAATTCCTTGGACCAACGTTTAACGAATCTAAGTAATCCCTTGGCCTTATTGACAATACTAGATATGCGAAAGTTAAAGTTCAATTTGGAATCAAAAAGAACAGTCGATATACGTTGCAATGGCACATTGTCAATCGTATACGTCCCTAAATAAGGCAAGGTTTGGTGAAATGTCATGAACTTACATTTAGAGCAATTGAGGTACAAGTGGTTAGCTAAGCACCAAGATTGCATGCAGTTCAGATCATCCTGCAGGCGATGAACATGAGAAGGGTCTTCGTAAGTCAGAATAAGTTTCACATCATCAGCGTACATAAGAATATGAGAGTGTGACAAGGTAGCGGACAGGTCATTAATAAATAATGTAAAAAGTAAGGGGCCAAGATGGCTACCTTGAGATGCAAAAACAGGCTTAGATGTGCGACCTAAGCAAGATCCGTTGGGATCTGCCTTTTAGATAAGACGAAATCCAACACAAAAAAGCGGAGGGAAATCCTAAACGACTTAGCTTAAAGAGCAGGAGATCATGTCAAATGCTTTACTGAAGTCAGTGTAAACGACATCAGTCTGCATTTTTAGAGTAAATGCTTCATTTACCAAGGAAGTATTCGTGTCTGTGTAAACATGTTAGCAGTCAACCAAACAGCAACATCAACAACAGCCGCGGGCAGCGCTTGGGCAGCGCTTGAGCAGCGCTGCAGCAGCAAATATATTTATGGCTATAACTTCTTGTTAAATCAGTCTATCATGATGAAACTTGGCATACGGGCACATAATAACTAACTGAAGGCATTTGCAAAATTTTAGTTCGAAATTCCAAGAATTACGGGAGTTAGAGAAAATCGCAATTTGCATGGGAGAGGGAGGTGGTAGGGAAATTCCAAAATACACATTTTCTGTGTATTCACATAAGGCACCTGGGCCTAAAATTTGGTGTCCCTAGGTCTCATAGTCTCCGAGATATAGCGTATACACATAAGGCATCTTTGTGCTAAATTTGGTGTCTCTATCTCTTATAGTCTCTGAGATCCAGGTGTTCATACGGACGGACAGACGAACAGACAGACAGACAGGGCTAGATCGACTCGTCTCGTCATGCTGATCAAGAATATATATACTTTGTGGGGTCGGCCACGCCTCCTAATATACTCTTGTACATTTCATGTACAGAGTATAAAAACATGCCAAACATAATAGTGAAGTTTGATGCTGTCTATGGAGACCGTTCACTATCTATGACGACCGTTCAAGGTGAAATACAATATTACACGCCAGAGGCCAAGAGATAGCCAAAACAGTGGATTTTTTCGGGTGAATCCCCACCGAAGAAGACAAAGTCGGTTCTATTAGTCTGCCACCATTATTTTGAATGTGCTCAGGGACATCTTTCAGCAGAAAGAAAAAATAATCACGGGCTGCACTATATTGAGTTGTTGGACATGCTCGATAAGATATTGAAGGCCCCTGTTGGTTAAGAAAATATGCTCCTGCCATCACGATAATAGCGCACCGCTACATTCATCTTTTATTGTCGCAACCAAAGCACACGAACTAGCTACGAATTGCTTCCGCATCCACGTTCCTCGCCCTACGTAGCTCCCAGCGATTTTTTTCTTTTCCCCAACTTGAAAACATAGCTCGGTGGGAAAAAAACTCAAATGAAATGTAATGCAGTAGTTGGGCTCGTCTACTTTGAAGAGCGTTCTGAACACATTACTGGTGTTAATTATCGGCAGTCGCTTCTTTCCAGCCCAATCGCAACTCATTGATAAGATATAATTAATACCTTTTAGTGAGCGCCCTAGGAACAGAGTTTGGCAGGCTTCTGTGTTTTCGGTTCATTGCCGCTCTTGAGCATGGGCTTGGTCATACTGGATGCCATATTCCGTTCCCGTTCGCCGCTGCCAAACATGCGCTAGTATTTTTGTCAACATGCCAATAGTTTTTAAGTGGAATTTACAAGTTGGTCGACACCCACGCATGTCTGCAGCGCATTTGTTAGAAGCCCATCTGCGCCACTCCATGTCGGTCCACACCAGTCCGCTCCAGGCCATTCCTGGCTACCAGTGGTGCGACCCGCCTTCTTTTACGAGACTTTAGTTAGTTTCTTGGCACTCGAACACGTACGTGTATGCAAGCCTTTTCTGTTGCTTTTGCTTGCCATTAAATATGCAGGTTACTAGTGCCAATGGTGCCAAAATCCACTCCAGCAGCCGAAAGTGGCACAAAAATACACGAGGCGGTGCTGAGTGGGCGGATGGGTGGAGGGTTGTTCGGTTGGTTGGTCGGATGTCTGGAGCTACGACTGGATTAGTTTAAGTTTTGTGTCTGCACGTCGACGGTCGCGGCTGACTGCCTGAGTGCCTGCCTACCCGCCATCGTCCTCCTTACTGGTTTAGTTTTAGGCAAAAGGCTCTTTAAAGATGCAGCATTACCTATGTACGTGCACGATCCGTACTTCTTCCGCTGGTAAAGTGGTGTTATGCTCTTTTAAGTACCCTTCAAAGTTGTGTTGCGTTTACTGGGCGATGTGGCAGACATCTTTAAATTATTGCCTTCGAATACCACACACACGTCAGCGCCGAACATACTTGTACAAGTACTTCGGTCTGAACACTTGATTAATTTCCAACCATTCCTATTCTAACACCTTAGGTATTCAGAACTTTGTTAATATAATATGCGGCTGGCAAATACCACTAATTGAGAAACATCTTTTCAAAATGCTATAACTTCCTGTCAAATCGGGGGAAATACAAAAAAATAAGACAAACTTCCACAGCGTATACACATAAGGCATATTTTTGCAAAATTTGGTGTACAAGTATGTTGCTATTATAATCTCTGAGATTCAGGTGATCCGGACAGACGGACAGATAGACTGATATAGATCGACTCGTCTTGTTATGCTGATCAAATATATGTATACTTTGTGGGCCTGCCTTCTGTCTGTTAGATTTTTTAGATTTAAATAAAGCTTAAATCAATTCTAACAAATTGTTTATGAGGATGGCTTTGGCAATCACCCTCACGCACTAGCGAGTTGGCTGCTCTCCAGACCCAGGAAGAGACGACTGAAGCAGCATTCACACTCACACAAAGCATCTCCCCGAGTGTAAAATATATAATTACATAAAATATATTTCATATTTAATTTGAAAATATTGCATTGCATATTTACATACATTTAAGTGTGTATAAGAAGTTAATTCTTGTTGTTGAAAATTAATGGGGAATTTTTAACTAGCTTAAGCTGTCATATTGGTAGCAGAATACCGGTTTAATATAAATTGTAAATCAACAAAAAAAAGAACATATTGTTAAATTTTGTTCTTTGACGTTTCTACGGGACTGTAAAAACTGTATGTGTATGTATGAGGAGAAAATGCAGCTTAATTCAAATGCGTATATGTGTATATATACACGTATGTATTGACATAAGTATTGCCACTTACATGGGATTCATTTTGGCCAGCAGTTGGGCGCGTATCCTCTGCCTTTCGGTCTCCGTCTCCTGCTGCGCTCCAAATTCAGTTTGGCGCTCCCGTTCTATACTCGCCGACAGCTCGTTGTTCATCTCCACATGGTTGTGTTCGGTTTCCAGGTGTGTTTGCGTCTTGACCGTCTCGTACTTGCGATCGTCCTCGGCAAAGTTGAACACCTCGCTCAGCTCGTACTCCTTGAGCTGCAACGAAACGTGTGAGTGTAAATGTTAGTATTTCGGAGAAAAATGTTAGTCCCACATGTGCAGCATATTAATTTGGGAGTGCTATGTGCTTGGCATAAGCAACCAACTGGCGACTGCTGACGACGCGACGATTGGGGGCTGGCGTTTGAACAATGAACGTTGCATACTTTGGGGCTGACAGGTGCGTTAACGCGTTGCTAATTTCAATTTGTGGCAAATATTGACACGGGGACGAAGGCAGAGACGGGCTACGACTGGCAGAGGTTCGGGGAACGAGGGTCTACGGAATGGCAACAATGACAGCAACAATAACAACAATAACAACAACAACAGTAGGAAAAACTTTCTGGCGCGCTGTCGCGCATTTTAATTTATTTGTTTGGGTTGCTGTCATTTTCTATACGACTCAACGTTATTGTTGTTTTGTTTTACACTGTTGTCATTGCTGCTGCTATTGTTGCTGCTCCAAATGCTTAGTACTTTTGTGCTTTGTTTCGCTGGCTTATCAGAGTCCGCACATTTCGGGATGAATACCTTTGCAGTCGTCCATTTTGCAAATGCGCCGGCCGCGCGTTGTTTGCCAGCATTAACATACATACATACGCGTACATACATATAATCCTGACAACAAAAACTGTGAAATTCCTTGTGGATTACACAAACACACACACGCACTCACATTCCACGCTGCTGAGATTACGTGCCACTTGGCATGCGCAAATGACACACAAACATGCGAAGCATTTGCGGCCTCATGGCGTGGCAAAGTCAATGCTGACATTCTAGTAGAAATTTAAGAAGAATTTAATGTGAAGCTTCAAATGCCACTGAGCAAATCAACACATAATTACATGAGCAGCATCCACAACTAACTTCAAGTAGAGGAATGTCGGGCAACTGAACTGGACGAGCAGCATGTGTCGGTCATAAAATGCGCATATAAGTAAATAACTTTCCATTTCGTTGGCCATAAACAAAGGCAGCTCCCACACAGAAAACAAGACAAGCTGCCCCAGCCTTTGCATGAATACAGGCGGAAGCGTAGGCGTCTCCTCAAAAGGAGTAGACTGAGTAGACAGTTTTATGGCTAGAGGCATAGAAAATAAAACTGGAATTAGTAGTGTCAAAAAGGCGTTACAATAACAGCAACCACCACCAACGAGAGCAATAACAGCAACAACAATATGGCAGCTCTAGCCAACAAATAAAGAATAATGACTGCACGTTAAGCAAGGGGAGCCACGCACTGACGCCCATTCCCACACAGAGACTTAATGCAAAAGTCTACAGAGAACAAAAAATACAAATAAACAATAAATTGGATCTAAGCTCCAAGTAAGAGATTGTTTGCGAAACACGGAATTTTTTTAAAATAGCCTAATACAACCAAATTTCAGAGGTGCTCATAAAACTTTTCCAGTTAAATTCAATTCGCTTGCGATTTAATTTTGGGTGAAATTAAATCTGCTCCAAGTGCTCCAACTTAAATTCCAAATACAGACTACGGATAAGTTAATACCAATAACGAGAAGATATTAATAGCCTAAAACCTCGGAGAATTACTGGATGAAATTAATTGGTGAAGTTCGCTGTAAGAGGTAAGTGAACAGAATTTAACGAGAAACTGGTTTGATACAAAATACTAATCGAACAATGAGTTTGAAGTTTTTTTTAGACAATACATACATCTTCGGCCCCTTTAATAAAAAATAAACAAAATGTTAAGCACAATCCTCATACTATACATGTGGATTTCGTAGAACTGTTGCAAATAATGTTTAGTTAAATTTTTTTATTCAGCCTAGAACAATATAGTACATATTTTTAGATGAATAAATTATTGTTTGTATAAATGACTTATTGCTTATATGGATGCGGAAACCGACACGGCTTACTTAAATAAAGGTATTTAGTTTCGCTCTAATAGTTTTAGTTTTGTCCTTCATTCCTTAATAGGAATTTTCAACCCATGAGTTAAGCGGTCGTAGTCAAGCATCGGGGCAAAGCAGGAGACAAAATCGCAAGCATTACTTTTCTTTAAGTGTAGGTTTCGTCTCGCTCGAGTCCTCGCCCTTAGTCGACGTGTGGAACAACGCCTAGCGAACATTTTATGTGCATCTCCGGCAAATTCAAGAGCACCCACACACACAAACAACATTTTGATGAGCAGCGTCTACGACTGGCAAGTGACTGTAACCGCAAGTGCCGCACTTGCTGACCCGCACTCGCCAGCATCGTAACCGTGGCATCCAAAATACTGCCCGTACATACCCTCCCATAATTACAATGGGCAGAATGGGCGGGCGAAGCATAAATTGTGTGCCGTTCAAGTTAGAGCTTTCTGCATCACATTCAGCATTAGTCGTTGTTACAAAGTGGCGGATCACGTTTTGTGCGGTACTAATGGATTGTCATAGTTAGAGTTCTAAAGATGTGCGGGCGTATGCCAGAAATATGAGCACTTTAACGAGTCAAAGGCGGCTCAAACACCCACTTAGAACTTGGAATCTTCATTTAAGCAATATACAAGTATATTCAAAATGCTTCAATTGCACTGATTATTTCTTCTATTGTCACTTTAAATACCCAGTACCTAGGGGTTTTATAATAATTTTTTTTTTTAAATAATTGAGTCCAATTTTAAGTTTCTTTTATCCTTGATGTCCACTGCATAGAGTATTTATAGAAGCTCCCCAAACATATTTAGCCTCAAACCCGTTTGATCCAAATTAAAAATATTCAGTGCAGCGTCTTGGTCCGCTTCTACACCCCGAAAAAATTAATGTGCAAAGATTCATGTTTCTTTTGTCATTGAATTTCGATATATAGAAAAAGGGTGTTTTGAATGTGAAGAGAGTTTAACTTGGGTGTTACTCCATGATGTCCTGTTGCGCCAAGTACCTAATATTCAGAACAAAGCATTTCCATAAAGTATATATGTAAATGTATTCTTCAATATCACGGCAACAAAAATGCATCTGGATTGAATATCGATCTGAGAATCAACGAGGATATTACAGGAACACAGAAAATGACAATTAAATATCTTAGGTTGGACCGGAAACCGGCATTTTGATCACAGCTACCGTATGAATACTTGTAAAGTAGGGCAGTGGAGACGACCTTTACAATCTAGGAAACTCCTCGTGGATGCGCACAATGCCGTACTACTACACGACTCCGAGATATAAACAGATACACTGAGGATAAATATTTCAGACTTGAGGCTCTGCTAGTGATACAACGGACCAATGCGCTAAAAAAGAAAGCGCATATCGAATAACATCTGGAGCAGCCGCACCTGCCTTAGCAGACGGGATGCCAATATACTTATTGGAACCGATACCCACACACAAGCACGAGAAAAACCATTCAGCTCTGTAAGCTGGAGACACTGAAATGATGGCACGAGAAATGGTGAAATGAGGAAACTGGCAGGTAGGCGGCCAGGGTGCTACACATCAGAATTTGGATACAAAGGACATGCGGAGAAGTCGACTATTACCTACACAGAATGGGAAAAACAAGAAGCACAGAAATAGAAGCTTGTATCTCACAATACTCCACTTAGAAGAATTAAGAGAGGAACGAGGGCGATATATTACACCGGGTAACAGGTAGAAGAATAATCAGCAGCGAAGAAAACTGGAGATTTGAACCGGCCTGTGTTAGGAATCTTCATCGTTTGAAAAAGAAGGAACTGGATACGAGAACACAATCGAGTACCCTAGATGCAGAGGAAGGATGAGAGCGCCCACTTCTAAGATTAAGGGGATTAAGTGGATGGGAGTTACACACTCCTCTCTGCGACGACAGATCGAGAAATGCATATATGTATATATACTTTTTATTACTATTCATTTGTTCAGTATACGTAGATTAGAATAGTTGTAGCAACAATTCACTGCTGCACATCGCATAGGTCTACTTGGCATAGAGTTTTCAGGATCCCTTCCACTTTCACCTCATGCTCTGGTTGTCTACGCGATTTTTTTGCGAAAGTAACAACATAAACTTTTTACACACTACAGTGTAATGTATTTTATTTTATTGTAATTAACATTTTTGCCGTTGTCTGCGAATGTTTCTTGCTTTTCTCATGTTATTTTCGTTAAGCATTTCTTTCGTTGGCGCGCCAGCTGCGAGTCGGAATTATAAAGCGCATTAACACACGGCCCCAGGAATATGTGCGCCTTACACGAATACACACCCATTCTCACACACACAAGCATGTAGGTATACATGCGTATAGGAGGACCCATTACGTATGTAAAAGGGCGCTTGTAGTTGACGCCATTGTAATGCTAATGGCTCATTAGCACTTTGATTTTTTTTACAGCACATAAAAAGTCATTAAGCGCGTTTATGTGTATTGGAGTGTGTGTGTGAGTGTGTTTGTTAGGGGCTACATTTTGACTGCTAATTTGCTGTTAATTAGCTTGTTTAATCTTTTTTCGTTTTTGAAGTGCCAGTTGTCAGTTTTTGGATTCCACCATTTGCGATTTGGCTGCCTTGGCTGCCTTGGCTGCCCGACTAAACGTCGGGTGTTCCTTACCTTGATGAACTGAAACGTTGCAATTGGCGGTAGCCGCTTGCTCTTTGGATAGTAAAAGCTGCCAGCCGGATGCGCGGGATATCGCGACGTAATGCGATAGATGACGCCCTGTGGTGCTGTGGGCCAATTGGGTGCGGTGAAGGTGAAGCCATTGTCGGTGCCCGCATCAAGTGGATCCAATTCAACTGTGACCGTGTCAATCCATGAGCCGCCTACGCACAGCTGCAAATAGTCAAATGGAAATGGAAACACAGGATGATAACACTATGTGAAAGAGAGACAGGCAGAGAGACAGAGAGGGAGAGGGGGAGTGGGGTAGGGATGAGGAGGACATATTTAAAAGTGCGTGCAATTGGCGCTGATTATGTTGGTATTTGCGGCTCGGATTTGGGTTTGGGTTAGCGATTTGTGTGCGCCGTCACTGGTGCTGTTATTGCTCTTGCTGTGGTTTTCGGTAACGTGTCGTCACGCAAAGCAAATGCGGCGATTTGTGTGATTTCCGTCCTTGTGGTTGCTGTTGATGATGTTGTCGACATGTTTGCACGAGCAGCACGCAATAGCAATGGTAAGGGCAATGGCACTGGCAATGGGGCTAGTGCAGACGGCACGCTTGCTTACCTCGAATGAATCGACGCCGATAAACCAATCTGGGGATGGCACAATGCGCGTCATTAGTGAGACCAAACTGTGATTGCTGTCGACGAACACTTTCGCCTCGCTGCGTCCTGCGCCCAACTGAATGGCTGGCATTGTGAACTCATCGAACACGCTGCGCTCTGTATTGGTACTCGATTTAAGAGCCGGTTGTATCTGTGTTTGGGCCAGTATTTGCTGCTGCTCGCCAGCATTGCTATCCAGCTGTTCGCTCTTGCCCGTCTCCGCGAATTGTTTCACTCCCGGCGTGGCTGGCTGTCCGATATGGTAGAGCGCGTAGTTGGCATTGTGGGTGCGACCTGAAAATTACATATAATTGTACAATGCGTCAGTGATGCAAACTCAATGCTTAAAAAACACTCGACAAAGTCGTTTCAAGAATTATAACTTAAGGTATAGTACTGATCTTATTTAGATGGTTGTTTCAGCATACTTGTAAATTCTGAATACAGAATACCGACTAAAGGAAACAGTCATCGAACTATATATTATTATTTTTGAAAAAAGAATAATATATTTATACCCTGTACCCAAAGGGTACAAGGGTATATTAGTTTTGTGCGAGTGCACATGGAACACACAGAAGGAGGCTTGGTAGACCCCACAAAGTATACATATTCTTGATCAGCATGACAAGCCGAGTCGATATAGCCATGTCCGTCTGTCCGTCTGTCTGTCCGTCTGTCCGTCTGTCTGTCTGTCTGTATGAACGCAAGGATCTCCGAAAGTATAAGAGCTAGAATAACCAAACTTGGTATACAGATTCTCCTGAGACCGAGAAAGGACGAGTTTGTTCATTTTTTCTGATCCACCCCCCCACTCCCCCCCTATTAACGATTTTCTATAACTCCCGTAATTCTTGGAATTTTGAGCTAAAATTTGGTAGTCCCATTAGGTTAGTAATTACATATCCGTATACCAAGTTTCATTATGATAAAATGATCGGAAAGAAAGTTATAGCCATATAACCAGGCCCAATGCACACATACATACATATGTACAAGTACACAAACACGCATAAGGCACGATTCTGATGTAAATGTAAATGTATGTATGCATGCATGGAATATTTTATATTTAATTAGTCAATATTTAGTTAATTAATTAAATTAATTTAGTTAATTAATTTAATTTAATTAATTAATTAATTTAATTACTTTTTTGTGGGGTGGTACAGGGTATTTAAGAGTTGAGCCTGCTCGACTTTAGCATTCCTTTCTTGTTTTAGAGTAAACTTAAGCTCGACCCTTTGAGAAGCCTAATGAAATATTCTTTTAACCTTAAAGAACGCCTTATGTTTGCTAATTATACAATGCAGCTCTCGTGCAACTTAAAAGCCTTCTTCGCTGCTGAACACAAATAATATGGTTAATATTGTATTTGACACAGTTTGTGACAGCTCGAGGGCCCCACGTTGGGCGCCGCACCAAAGCGCAAAGTTCAAAAGGCACAAATATGCTTTGTAGCTTGGCTTTCCCTCATAGTCATTCACGTCGTCACGGCGCTCTATCAAAGTAGCTCAGAGACACACTCACTCAGTGAAAACTTGTGAATTAAAAATAAGTGAAAGAGCGAAAGCAACAGCAACGGCAACAGCTTACAAATAAAACAAAAATAATAATAATAATAAATAAACTGACATAAAAAGGCAAGAGAAATACATATCTCCGAGTAAAATGGCGAATGGGAAAGGCAGAAAACGTAAAAAACAAACTGCCACGGCAGTGCCAAGTTGCAATGTTAATTGAAGAAAAATAAGAGCTAAGAGAAAGACGCGCACAAACAAAAACCGCACCAGCAAGCTTCGGTGGCTGGGAACTGAGGGGCGGTACGGTAAGATGGAGCGGGGTGGTACAGAGCTTTGGCGTAGGCGGCAGCGTGTGACACTTTTTGAAAAGTCTGATTAAATGAAAAAATGTCAGAGACAGAGAACGGTCCGCTTTTAAATTGAAAATTATTTTTGAGCTAGAGAGAGCATGTTTAATGATAATAATTAGGCCAAAACATTATGGATCAAAAGATGTGGATATGACATATGAGAAAATTCTCATCACTAGCATCGACTTGTTTTTTAGAGTTTGTTGGTTACCAGCAACAACAATGTTGCAGGCTAACATATTTTTGCTCAAAACTATATATTTGTATTTCCTGTAAGGTAAAAAGGGTATATTAGGTTTGTGCTAAGTATGTAACAGGCAGAAGGAAGCATCTATGGGACGAATCGATCCAAACATGTCCGTCCATCTGGATGAACGCCTGCATTTTGAAGACGGCTGAGAGAACATTGACCAAAATTGGTATGTGGCCGTCCCCGATTTTACCGATTAGGGTGAAATATGAAACAAAAGCAGAAAATTACATACATCGTACAAGCCTGATATACCCTTTTTACGCTTCGGCTATACAATACATACATGTATTCATGTACATACTCGTACAAGACACGAATAGTCGTCTAAACAGGTGGGGAAGCTTAAGTCGAACGTTAGGATTTTGAAGTACTCCGTGTTGAATATGGGCGTGACCCATCAATCAACATTTTTTGTTATTAATTTCTAATAACATCCATATTATATGTGCCTTTTTGGAGCTTATGCCAAAAAATTCGAAAAAAATATATGTAAGGGATTTGTGTATAGCACACAGACAGGGTTAGATCGACTCGTCTTGTCATGCTGATCAAGAACATACTTTTATATGTATACCATATGGGGTCTGCCACGCCTCCATCTGCCTGTTACATTTTTCCCTTTGCGCAAACCTAATATACTCTTGTACATTTCATGAATTCAAAACTAATCCGGCGAATGCAACTTTTTGTATGGTAAAAAAATTATATTTTACATACAAAACTTAAGGCCTGTTGTCCCTATTATTGGAGTTAAAAGTTTTCAAAGCCGCTTCTTAGTACTAACGTACACCATGAACGAAAACTTAGGTTCAAATTTGGCTCAACTGTGACTGATTTGTGATTAGTATTCTATTTACTATATATCATTTAAAAGAAGCTGTGAAAACTATGTTAAGACTTCAAAGAGGGCTTGAAGCTTGCATAAACAGAAGAGGAATGCTAAATTCGAGCGGGCTCAACTCTTAAATACCCTGTACCCACCCCACAGAAAAACATATTTAAAAATAAAATTAATTTTAAAAAATTTAATCAGCACATGCATACATACATATATAAGTGTTTTTGTATAATTTCAACAGCATACATTTACATCAGAATCGTGTCTATGCGTGTTTATAAGCGTGTATATATATGTATGTGTGCAGTACAGTAATAAGTGAAAGCAGCAACAACAAGAGCTGCGAGCAGAGCTTCGGCAGAGATTAGATGTATGGCTATGAATTTCTTCATATTTAACATATAATGATAAAACTTGACATATGGACACATGATCAGTGCATTGATGTAAATACCAAACTTCCAGGAACTTCAGGAGGTTTGGAAAATCACTAATAGCGGAGTACTTTTTAAGACTTAGAAAATTTGTATTTGTATACATTTATTAATTGGTTTATGTCCGATCCGTTTGTGTTTCCTGGCACATTTTGTGAAAAAATAGAGAAAAAGCCAAATTCAAATATAAATTATACTGTTAGAAATAACATAAATTAAAAGGACTGATCTTGTATTTATTATTTGTTTCTTGTGGAAACTCGACAAGCTCAGCAGTTTTTTCCAGTCCCAAGAGTTCTGAGTATTCAGTGCTAGTGGGGCTTAGCCAAGCCGGAAGCAGGCTGATTGATACCTTTGTATTTATTTCAAAATAAGAAAACGAGGTAACCGTGAATTGTACATAGAATGCTCGTAGTATATGTATACGAGTATGTACATGTACTGTACTTTCCCTTTTGTTCCCATAAGACAATCTAATTTATAATTCATTCAATTAAAAGGCCACAAAATGAGCCAAATCCACAAAATGAGCATAATAAATTCGCAATTAAATGCTTAAATTGCGCGAATGTTTGGTGGGCAATGGTCGCGCTGCTTAAATGGCCAGACCGCATGAAGCGAAGTGAGATAAATGCCCGCTGTAAAAATTGATAATGAAGGCAATGTATTGGGCTGTACATAGGAACCGTCTGCGTGTCTTGTAATTAATGCTTAATTATGCACATTAAAAGCCAAAACTGCCACGTTGCAGGATACGATGCACAGGCGTAGGCGGCAACGGGGCCATGGACATCGATGCGTTTGCTCGTTAAACGCAACGCAGGCACGTTTCAAACGCGCGCAGCCACGTATGGGCCATAAATTATTGTTAGCGCCAAATGAAACGAAAGTCAAATCGAAATGGTGTTCAGTGCAAGGCGAGGCATGCCGCATACGGCATGTTGCCGGTTCAGCAATTATAAGTGAAAATCGCAGCTAGCGGGAAACAAATTAATACAATATTGCCAAAATGACAATATGACAAAATGAAATGAACGTGTGGGTATGTGGATTACTAGCTATGTGTTTGTGCTTTCCCTGAAATATGGCGCAAAGCCAATGACTCGGCGACACTTACATGACGCATGGATTATGGATCGAATTGCTCATACGCAGCGTTAATTAGAAAGCCCTTCCATTCACCTGTTCGCTGACATTAATTGGCCCAAAAACACATATATATGTAGATGTCCGCACCGATGGACCTCTTTTCGGATGAGACGTTCTTTCAAGTGAAATTTATAAATAAACGAGCCAAATTTTGCCGCCACGGCGTCCACTGTATGACGCAGAGCTGACACACTTTTCCATCATTTCTGGCTTTTTCGATTCTCTCTGCCCCTCTCCCTCTTCCTCTCTCTTCTCTCGCCTTCCCTCATCATTCGTTTCGCTGGCAATTTATTTAAACTGCGCACGGCAAGTGAATTGTTTTTCATGCATGCCACGCTCAATTTCCTACAATTTCCGAAAAAGTTTTTTATTTGCTGTTTGCGCCTGGCACGAAATTTAATTATAGGCCATAAATTTGATTTTAATAGCGGCATTAAGTTTAAAAAGCCCGACCAGCTTTAATAATAAAAAAATAACAGCAACAAAAGGATTAAGCTTCGTCTCTCTGCATAGTTTCCGAGTTGACCAATGGTTGTCAGCACGTGCTCGGTCACACGGAGGCCTGCGTCCACCCACACCCACCCACATACACACACACACACACACACACACACACACACACACACACACACACACACACACACACACACACACACACACACACACCGTTAAAACCTGGCAAGCCTCGTAGAACGCTCTTGTAATCGTCCCGTTAAGTTGGGGTGTAGGGTCAGTTAAGGTTATCCT